CGAGAACAAATGATTTAATTACTGAAGCAGCGAGAGATCAGTAAGTAGTTTCTGTTTTTTTTCTATTATTTAAGCAATTGATATATAATTTAGCTTCATCTGCTGAAGGTTTCGTACGTTTCAGAAAATCTTCGTCCGCAAAGAGTTAAATGTTCACTCGACATTAGTTGTCCGACGAATGATAATAGTTTTCAAATAATTCGGAAGACATCGGTGACCAACGTGGTCAGCCTATTAAAAAACAGATTTTTGTCTGGCCCTCTCCTCGTTCGTCACTTTTCCTAATTCTAACAGAAACACATGTTTGAACTAGGCCAACAAAATCTACGACTTGCATTGCTAGCATTTATAAAATTCAGAAATATGTATTATTTCAAGTAAATCCATCAAGTGTGTTTGAAGTAAATTTAGGCTATCGTTCGCTACTATCTTGTACAAGTTCAACGATACCTCAGATACATTTGTCATGCTCGACGAGGTTATAAATCTGATTCATTCATAATCGGAAACAGTGAAATAGTAGGTGTTGCAGTGAGATCTGTATAAAGCTCGGGCGAAGTCGCAGGGAAGTGAAGTTCCACGTGAAAGGGAATAGTGAAAAGCAAACATACAGAATACATTTGCCTGCCAGTAATTCCATTCGTAGCCTGAGTGCATTGGCGATAACATCGTAGTAAGCTGCAACGGCTGTTTGTTTATTGGGATCGTCGACCTAAAGTTGCTGCCGCAAGGTATTTTCGGGTGAAGGTATATAGATACCTTCACTGATTACGTTGAGGATATCCGGGTGTTTCTTTGAGGGCAGAAACGGACGAATGAAGGATTCAAACATGGCTGTTTGAGAACGCTACTGTAAACAAAATGCGAGGCGCTACATTTCGGGAAGGCTTTCTCGCGGTTTATTGTACGCTGTAACTCGGCCATCTTGAGTACAATACAATCTTTCTATTCTCTTTCGTTGTTCGGACTCTGATTACTATAACAAGAACATGTTATATTATTTTAACGAGAAATGACGGTATGAACTTTAGTCTATTTCGAGATTGTCTGTACTTTGGCGAGAATTCACTTAGAAAATCATCATTGATGATTCTGTATATTCTGTATATAAACTTTGTACTCGAAATTCACACTTTTGCAAATCAAGTATATACCTCTACATACATGTTTCACTTAAAAAACCATCAAATGTTGATTATGCAGTTAGTAAGGAATGAAAAATTTTATTACTAACAAGTGTATTATATATTTATTCAGAAGTAACTCATCAATTCATCAAAGTTAGTACATATTATGTATAAAATTCATATAATTACATATAGTTACGTAGGTTCAAAGCATGCACATGTGATAACTGTGTGCAGATCATTTTTATATACATAACCTTGTCTATAATGATTCTCCTGCAGCAGCAACTGGTAATTTGACATACATATTCATATAGTTAATTAACATTTGATGGTTTTTCAATAAAATGTGTATGTAGAAATACTTGATTCGCAGAAGGGTGAATTTCGAGAGGAAAAGGGTGATTATATTCAATTCTAGGTAAAAACAACACTTTCTATCCGAACAGGTGTTATTTTATCGAATCAGTCGGAGGAGTGATTACGCGCGGTGTGCATTCAAAAAATGCGAAACGCAGAAATAACAACCCACTTCTCCCAGCTCTCCACCCTTTCGTTGTGGAATAGGGCTTCAACTCTTGTCCCTGCATTCCCTTCCCAGAGATGGCTTCACTCTCGCCCCTTAACCCTCTCGAATCGAGCCGGAATGGAGAACGGGAATAGTTTTCCCACTTCCTGCTACAGGGGCAATTGCGAATTACACAGATTTCGTGGAGCTGCGATCGTTATGGCCGATAAAAAAATATAACCAACAAAATATTCCACATGGAATTTCGATATTGCCGACTCGAAATATTTTCTAGTTCGCGCGTTTTACGTGTCACTTGTTAACCCGAAAATATCTCAATCGCACGAGCGTTTAACACCAGAACCACCGTAACAGTCAAAATTATTTTTATCAATTTGTTTGTTTCGCAATTATTGATATCTTTAAAGCATTGAATATTCGAAATGATTTTGGAAATAAATAGTTCCACTTGAATACTGTAATGAACGTCTGAAGAAACTGAAAATAATTTATTGTCAGAATTTTTATAGGATTTACTTATCAATCGTATTGAACGCTCGGTAGTTCTAGTGTTAGTACCGCAGATCTACTATAATAGATATCAGAAAAATATAGTTTGCGAATAGTACAGATATATCGATGTCCTTCAATGTAAGGATTATTAGATAACTGTACGAGGAAATTGAGAATTGACGAAAAATGGAAGTTAAGACAAAGTGTTCCTCATATCGTATTTAACAATCAAAGAAATCTTACTTTCATAACGAAAATTCGATAGAATATAAAATACAAAGGTCTAATCTTCTGCCTAGAAAAAGCATCTTCGCAAATTCTATCATTAGAATCGTAATTTTTCATATTTCTCGTATCAACTTGTTACCCCCTGTAAGTTCCTCAACAAAAACTAGCAATAACCTTTTAACAATACTTGTAACGATACGAATAAACCGAGGAAACCGAGACTTGTTCGTTATTTGCGGTATTATTCTGCAAACGTAGAATGGCACTTCAGTTCCCACGGAAAGATGAAATTATTCCTGGAGTTGGTTTATTCCTGAAAGGAAAATTCCCGAGAAATGAGTTCATTTACGTTACAGTCTCGATTACAATGCGGTTTCTTCGAAGATATAAAATTCAGAGAATATATGGTATACGCAATGTAAGAAAATGGCAAAGGTGAACACTTCTATGGAAGTTAGCGGCGGGTGGGCACAGTCGTAAGATTTCTCGACACTGTCTGGCCCGCGGATTATCGGCTTAACCAGCTACCTCGGTTGGCTGAGTTGTTTCTACGAGCAAAATCAAGCTTGACGAGATCAAATGACTATTTCTGCGATTTGTTATCTTGTCGTGTTATCGTAGACTGTGCACTCTTTGTCTTAACCCTTTGCACTCCGAATTTCTTTTACATTCTTTCGCGATAACTCTGTATTATTAGGATATTTGATTTGAAATGCAGTTTAAAAGATAGATAGTTTGTAGAGAGCAGTGCAAACGATTCTTTTTTATTAATAATATTGAAAACGGAGTTTTATAGCTTTCTGAACTGCTGAGAATCATAAAAATTATTTTAAAGTCGTTTGTGATATATATCTTATCATCACTACCACGAATTTCAGTTTTCTAACTATTAACACTAAAACTATTGGACGCATCAAATTGACCCACTTCAGAATTTTCAGTTCGCGAGTATTTAAATTACGAAGGCGTTTTAGAGACAGATTTTCAGTTAAATTTTCGTATTTGTACAGATTCAAGACTAGAAGACCCTTCGAACCACAAGAAACGTATTGTTCTAATTTTGATAAATAATCGAAAATAAATCATTCTAAAAACAAATGCAAGCAAATAGAAATGAATATCACACAAATTTCCAATTCAAATTAAATACTATTCTTTTGTTATTAATTCTTATGCTTCACAGTATCCGTGAATATAAATTGATCTTTGTTCCTAGTAGATTATCAATGTTTAAGTAATTCCAGCGAAAGCAGTTGCAAACAAGTTGAACGAATATTTTTAGAAATCAGATATTTTCCAGGTACTTTTTCGTGCCGTTAATATGGCGTACACGGATTAGGATACACTAATTTATCCGCTTCTATTCCAAAAATTTCAGCCACTTATTGAGAAATATTCAAAGAATCGTGCATGCTGCAAATACATAGGCGTAATCATTACACTTGTAAACTAACGGGAAACGGGCGGCATATTACCGTAATGAAAACATTTCACTCATTAACCAGAAAGCACATCGTTATATTACTCGCCCGGTAGAGCAACAGGACTCGTTTGACGAGAAATATCAATTCACAGCGTATGAATTAAAGTCTGCCTGTAACGACCCTACGTGAAGAGACGCTAGAAGCTGATATAAAGTACTGAATAATAACATTCCCTTAACTTATCATAGAATTTCCTTCTTCATATTTTTTTACGTAATTCAATGAACTTTTAACCCTTGAACAGCCGCGATATGTCCGGCATTTCAGGCGTGTAATAATATTTTCCATAAAATTTGCTGTACATCTGTGATAGCGCTGAATGGCGTAAACGTTACGGTATCTCGGAGTTATGTAGTAATGTAATTAAAAGATAAGTAATCATATTTAACTTAGAGAAGCTGTCGCTAAAGCAAAACATGTTACAATTAATGTTGTCATGCATTAAATTTCTTTTCAATACATTCTTTTGCTTCTAAAAATTATATAAATCCAATTGAATATCTTTTTATCCTCGAAATATATCGTTGTTAATCATAATGAATTTTAATAATATCAAAACGGGAATCAACCCCTTGTCCTATAATTTATTTTTCAACTGTGATCGATACAACGTTGTCAGTAATAATTTATAGAAAAAGGAAACAAATTCTATATATATATTCTATCTCTATGTTTGCCCTATAATATAATAATTGATAACAGAAGAATTTAATTTAAGTTTAAAGGGATTGAGTAATATTTATTCTTGTTAAATTCTATTTAAAATGTTCACTGCGAGTCTCACACGTTACTATAAGATAAGGGGTTAAAGCATTTAAGAATGATAAAACATTTATAAGTCTAAGGAGTGAATGCTTGAAAAGTTTGTGCAATGAACGTATCGTTTGTTTTAGAAGTGCAATTTACAAGAGGAAGCATGAACAAAATTCACGTCACAATTTCGAAATAAGAAATACAGGAACACTGATCTATAGAAATGTTACACATTAAAAAAGTAACGAATAATGCATTTTAATATATTAGCTTAAGTGTCGTATCATGGCGTCGTAAAAAGGACACTATGGGCCAACAGCAAAATTGTTCGAGCTTCGTCGTGGCGGGTATAAAGGATGGTTACTCAATCAGTGTTTTGTGTTACAGGACCAGCTATAGCAGCTCGAGCGGTTATTCAAGGTACAGCAGAATTACCATGTGATATCCGTCCTCCACGAGAAAATGATTCTGCAATTTTGGTTGTATGGTACAAAAGCGATATCACGCCCATTTACAGGTGAGTAGTTTCAAAGTTCTTTACATGTTACCCACATCGCCTCAAGGGTTGCATTAAACCAAGTTGAAATGCGAATCTGCTAATGAATCATATGAGATACATTAAATAACAATTTGCTTAATGAAAAACGTTGTTCAACCGTTGGTAGCAGATACTTTAAAGAATTTATAGTACGAGTCTTTCAGTCACCATTAGATTTCACCGAACAAAATGATTAAATTTCAAATTCAGTATTAAATTTTATATAATGTAACACATGGAACATCGGAATAAAATAGTTTTGACGCTTAATTTATACAAGGTATTTCTTTATGTTAGTTGTAAAAATATCATTGACATTTCATCAGAATGTAATGAATATTTGTCGAGACAAATATTCTCAAGTGCAAAGAGTTAAAATAGAGCGTAAATTAGTAATGATGAGATTGCTACTTCACCGTTGTTTTTCAATTTACTAAGTACCCACTGTGCGGACCGACACAAAACTTTGGTAACTGTTTTAGAAATAATAAAAACCGATATAGATCGAAAGCTTTCCAAACTGTTATTACATTATCTCTATTCTTGTAACTGTTTCCGACGTAATAACTGTGCAAGCCTCGATAGCATCAAGCACATCGTATCTTCAAGTAAAAATAACTAAATCCCCGTGTTTGATTGAATCTTGCTACGGATTCTAAATTGGATTGCACTTTGCAATGGTATTTGTTTTTACAGTAACATGTAGCCTGTAAAGAGTTAACAGCCAAAGAGTAAATTCTCCAATCACCAATTATGTGCATAGCAAACATACTTTGATTGGCCATCAGCGAAATTAATATCTGCGTCGATTGCATTACATAAACCTGTTTAATTCCCACGAGTCATTTCGCGAGCCCACGAACGATTCCCACGAATCTAATCGACGCCTTTACAGTGAGCGCAGTAGATTTTCAAAACGCAGCGTGGAAAAGAGTACGCTCGGATAGTCGAATCGATTTGAAAGCATTTAACGCGGATATTTTACACGCAACGTACCGTGTTCGAGTACTTTTGATCTTAATGAACAATGCACTGCTGGTTGTTACAATGGCGCTAATTATATGGTACTTTCCGTTTCAGTGTTTCCTTTTTAACGGTAGAACTACGGTGTCCGTCAGGATTATGAGTACTTTTCTTATTTCGCAATTATTGATGGTTTAATACGTTGAGTGCCGCACGATTTCGCGGAGAAAAGTATAGAAAATGGAAATAATGCAATATCAAACTATGTAATTGATTTACGTTATCATTGCAGGTTTATCTTGTTGAATATCACTATGTTAGGTAGTATTACTTGTAATATAGAAAAGTTTTCAAATAGTCATCCTTTAGTTGAATAAATTATAGTAATTCAATTTTGTTGAGGTCACCGGTGGCCCCCCCTCCTATGGCATCCAACGTGTTAATGGTACCGATTATCCGAAATGATTTTGAAAATAAGTAGCTCCACTTGAATGCTATGACGAATATCTGAAGAAACCAACACAGATTTATTGTTGTAATCTTTATGACTGTATATTGATCGTATAAAATGCTCGGTAGTTAGTGTTAATTATGGTTATGTAAATACATCTCACAGCAATTTAAATCTTCAACGTTCCTATATCATTCACAAGTGACGAATTATTGGTATTCATATTTCATTTGCGTGATGTAAGGTGCTGCAAGAAACTGAATAATTCGAATAAATATAAAAATTCATTTTATTTTTATCAATACAGGTACAATCGTGTTTTCGTCCGGTGAAATCCACACTCGGACGACACTCCACGGTGAAATCTAAGATTTTTATAGATGCGAATCTCCGGAATTGGAATTCGCGTTTTGAAATAATTTCCTTAATGTTTAGTATAATGGTACACTTACTTGAATCTGTATAAAAAAGGCAGTCGAAAATTAATCTTTTGCTGTCTTCATACGCATTTTAATTTTCCATCCTAGTTTTAATATAAATAGCACCTGCAACATAGAATAAATGAATAAACTCAATGAATGGTTCATGATTAAGATTGAGTTATTAATAGAAAAATTTAAAATAGTAACTTGGACCTTTCTTTTTTGACAATGTGTCCAGCCAGGCATTGTTTCATTAGAAACACATTACTTGTCCACTTGTGTCCTGTAATTATACGTATAAAAGATATTGAATGTGAAGGGATAACTTGAAAAAAAAGAAAATAAAATCTTACCTGCTGTGTTTTATGTACAGACTAAATTCAATCGGTTTCCTAGGTCTCTTCTCTCATGAAAGCCTGTTTTAAGCCTAACAATAGAGTCTTTACATATTTTGGTTTCGTTTCTGCATGCCTATTTAGAATTTCGAAAGCTTGAGCTAACTCCAGCTTAGAATCCCATTTGTTGTCTCCTTTATTTGTTCCACTTTGATCTCCCTCCTCTTCTTCTTCTTCTTCCTCTGTTTGTTCATATTCTTGTTCTTCTTGTTCATCCTTTCCACCTTCTTGTTCTAATTGCTCATCTTCATTTCCTATCAGTTCTTGTTCTTCTTCTTCATATTTAAATTGCTGTTCTTCTTCTCTTCCTTGTTCCTCTTCTTCTTCTTGTTCTTCCTCCGGATAACTTTCTAAACCTTCTTCAACCTCTTCCTCTGAAAGATTTGTATCAGCTTCTGTAATAGCTGATATAAAATTATGCATGTACTCATCATTGCCGGCAAGTGTATCAATCAGTTGGTGTAATTGTTTGTCTTGCTCATCTAACTCTTCTTTCACTATTACTTCTTCCGAGGACTTCTTTATATTATTCCAAGAATTCCTAATATTCCTAGAATTGATTTCAGTCCACGATTCATCTAATAATTGTATACAATCTTTGATTGTATACTTACTATAAAATTCATTTAACCCGCCACCGCATGCTATGATTCTGCTTAACATTTTATGGCGAAACAGCTTCTTTATTTTCGCAATCACGCCTTGACCCATAGGCTGAAGAAGAGAAGTAGTATTTGGTGGTAAAAACACAATCTCAAATTGGTCATCATAATGGTACTCTGCCATTAACAATTTATGTCCCCAACAATTATCCAATAGCAGTACAGCCTTCTCCTGCACTCCATTTTCCAACTGATACTTTCGCACGGCTGACTTAAAATCATTTTCATACCAATTTGAAAATGTTGTCTGATCTATCCACCCTCTCCTCTGAGACTTAAGCACCACCGGCATCTGATCTTTACAATGCTTCAACGCTCTCGGATTTTTAAATTTATTTATCACCAATGGCTTCAATTTATGCGTCCCCGTCGCATTCGCGCATAAACCAACAATCACACGATCCTTTTTCAGTTTCTTCCCTTCGAATTTCCCCTTCACGCTGTGCGGTGTTTTCGCGGGCAAAGCTTTCCAAATAAGTCCTGTTTCATCCATGTTGTAAATATTACACCACTGCAGTCCTTCCTCCTCGATTCTCGAATGAAACTCATCTGTAAATTTCTCAGCGGCCGTCGCGTCAGCGCTTCCTTTCTCGCGGAACGCGTTCAACAGACGAATGTTGTGCCGATTTTTAAATTTCCATAACCAGCCGTGGCTGGCTTTAAACGTGGACGAGCCCCCGATCTCTTGGCTTATCTGAAGCGCCTTCTCTTGCAGCAACAGATCCGTAATCGGTATCCCCAATGTCTTCGTCTCTAAGAACCATAAATACAATTTCGTATCCAAAGCGTCGTACACTGGCTTTCGAATCCTCTTCCGTTTTCGCATGTCAATTCCCTGGCACGAGGGAAATCCTCTTCTCCGGATTTTCCGCACCGTGCTAGGGTGAATGTTGTACTCGCTGGCTAAAGTGGACGTAGAAGCACCGCATTCCAACTTCTGCAGGATCTCCACTTTCTGCTCTATTGTCAGCGTAGTTGACACAGGCCCGCGTTTTGAATCTTGCATGGCGATCAATTTCTTGTTCAATCAATGCAACCTTCTCGACAGAAGTCCATAGACGACCGTTTCAACCAGTGATGTCATACTCGATGGAAAAATGGCTGCGTAGGAACTGTTAGTACCGGATGTAGAGGTCGGTAGTCAGAGGGTAACCGTAGGGATCATATTTACCGTAGTCATACGTGTCCCCATTGTTTCCGCATCATCCCTATGGTAAGAAATTCTTCACTGATCAAAGCACAGATCACACAACACACTTAGAGTGGTGAAACTTCAACGTTGAGTACCAATGCGATTGCGCATGCGTCATAAGAGATGTGCTCCATGAATATAGCTGCAGAACCTGAGGATAAGAAATGCGCACGTCTGCTGTACTTTCCAGATATCGAACGCGCAGACGTATAGGAGTTATCAGTTCTTTATATATAACTTTTTCTTTCTTTTTTAGTATTATTATTAATATATTATTATTTTATTATTCATGGAAAGTGACAAGATATCTTCTGCAAAGAAATGACAATACATAATTTTATTTTAAGGTTATGCAGCTTGCTACTATGAACATAAAAAATAATGAAAGTTTCCACTCTATATTATTTTGTGGCATAGACTAGATAGTATATGAATGGATTTAACGTCTTATGAACTTTCATGATCCGTATCGGACTGTTTTATCGATCTGGGAATGAAAAAAGAGTGCTTTTATCGATATCCTTTATCAATCATTTAAAGAGATGGAAACACTTTTAGAAATGCTTTGACAAGAGGAATATCTACTTGAAATACGATGGACTTATATATATGGAATGCGGAGGTATCAATTTTTTGAAATATTTTTGTATTATAGAACGGACTTTGATGACTTGTCTTCTTCTGTCCCATTTTTTTCTCCTGTAGCTCTACTAATTTCTTTTCTATACTCGTCACCTTAGCTATCATATTTAATCATAAACTCGGATAATTCGAGAAATTTGCATTGAAACGTAAGTTAAACATGTTTGTATAAATGTCTCATTTCGTGTAAAAAAAAACTGGAACTTCCACTTGCAGAATGCAGTATTTAATTGGTAATTTAACTAATTACACCTTGCATAATTCTAGACTATAAGGAATTTTAAATATTCTGTAGAGTTGCTGAGTAAAATTGAAAATATAAGAAATTTCAATCTCTTTTTAGTAACTTTTGAGAAGTTACTTTTTATGGAAATATTGAGGAAATATTGAAATATTATAAAACGATTTAATAATGTCAAAATAAACACAAGATACTATCTAAATTCTCTCTTCCAAGTTTTTAATTGGCCCGCTGAACAATTAAAATCTCTGGCTGACGAATATTGATCGGAAACATGAACGAGGTACATTTTAATAGTGAACCATCATGCATGCAACAGTATCAATGAGTACTCAACCGACTAGTGAAGCTGGTTTATAGCTATGCTAACGAACTGTTGGACCAAATTTGTTCAAAAACCTTAACAGTAATATTCGTGCTCCGTTTAAAAATATTTCCGTCGGAAGATTCTCGGCGAAACAATTATGATAACTTATTAACAATTTTTTCAAACAAATGGTACTTTTTAACACTAGAACTACGATTAGAATGCGATTAATATGGAGTTCCTATGAAAATTGTAACAGTTGATTATTTTCAGTTCCTTCCGACATTCACTATGGTATTCAAATGAAACTATTTATTTTCAAGATCATTTTAAATATCAAATGCTGTTAAGATATCAATCATTGCGGAAGAAACAAATCGAAGTCGGCCATTTTGACTGGTGCGGTAGTTTTAGTGTTAAATACAATTCATCAAATATTTTCTTCAAATGATCAAATCAAAATCAACAGTTAACCAAGAAAATCAGTTAAGAAAAAGGCTAGCACCCCACTGCATTTCTCAAAGTTACTGTATTGATTTCATCAAGAATAAACGGGATGACGCGACTCCTACTAAAAAAGACAGTCCTCCACTGATCTATTGATGAAACATAAACAGCAACAGATCCACTTTAGTACCGTTAATATTTACAATGAACCTAGGAAAAATGAAATTAGAGTCGAGAATTTTTCGAGAAACTTATCACAGAACTTCTATTTCAATCCAAATCTATTTGATGACTTCGCTGTATTCATTCTTACAAATACAAGTAACTTAGAAAAAAGAATCGAAGAGTATTATTGAATTGATAGGGAAATAATGTCAATTTCTAAACTCTGTCAACCTCGTAAGACAATAGGGCATTATAAAAAACAACGATATCTAACAAATGAAGTTGTACATGAAACCAACATTACTCTCTCATGAAAGTGTAGACGGTTTAGCTCTCGAATGCTCGTATCGGAGAAAATATTTGCTAGTTAGCGAAAGTGGGTGTAAACAATAGTCAATCGGCTATCTAGTCTAACAATAGGAGTCGAACAGCGTTCCCCTTAACTCAGAGTACCCTATGTTTCGTATGTCGATGCGACAAATGTTCGTGTTTTGGAGCACCCTGAGATGAATAGCCGCCGATTTCCCCTCGATTCATGCAACCCCAAGAAACGATCCCCATCAGCCGAAACTCCTAAACTCAAGTATCTAACGTTAGCCAGAAGTTTCGAATCATCTGCCAATATTCAACGTTCAAGCCACTGTATTGTATGTGTTTACAATATACTGTTTGCTGGTTGCAATTAATACTCCATTAAATTCACTGGATCTTTTTACCCTTTACAGACGAAGACTCTTTGAAATGCAGACAACCTTCAGCAGACGAAGCTGAATTATATATCAATTGATTAATTAATAGAAAAAATGGAAACTGTGTGCTGATCTGTTGCTGCTCCAGTGATTGAATCATTTGTCTGCGACTTGCTCTTCCGAATACGATTTCGTCTCGCCGAAATGTTGACATTCGTCTGCAAAGGGTTAACACGTTGAACGTCGCACGGTTTCATAAAGCAAAACATACAAAATGGAAAAATGTAATATTAAATCATTCGATTGAATTGCATTATTATTGCTGTACTTTGATTTATCCGAATGTCATCGCATTAGACAGTATTATTTATGATATAGAAATATTTTCGAATAATCATCGTCTAATCGAGTGAACCATAGTAATTCGATTTGGTTGGGTCACCGGTAACCTCCATAGGTAATTAGAAATAACCAAGGTAACACGTAATACAAGGATTTCGCGAAATATTTAACCCTTTGCACTCGAGAGGTGACTCTCAGTCACCATTTGATATGATATAATAAAATTACAAAGTGTTACATATAATATTAAATTGTGTATAATGCTTCAATATGATGCTTCAATGTGAAATATTTCTAAAAATAGCTTTGTTTCTTAACCCTTTGCACTTGATTTCATACAGTAAAACTATAAAATTTGATATTTAATGTTACATTTCGTATAATGCATCAATTTGAGAAATATTGAAATAAAATAGCTTTGTCCCTCGATGTACGTATGACTACTCTTTCTGTTAGTTTCACAAAATATCGGCTTTGTCTCATCAGAAAATGTTCCAATATCTCCAGTGAAAAACTTCCGAGTTCAAAGGGTTAATTTACGTATGTTTCCCCATTAGTTCGTTTCAAATAATATCGTCTATGTTTTATCGAAAAGTCTCTAAAGTTTCTAGTGAAAAGCTTCCGAGTGCAAAGGGCTAATAATTCCTCCTGCTTTTCTGTGCTATTCAACGTGTTAAAAATGTTCGAAACTTTTGTCTTTCTCTGCGAAGTGAATTATATGCGTGGTTGCTCGAGTGTATTTCGCAGGGAAATTCTTTAGAGCGTTTTCCAATGAGAAATACTTTGTTGCAGTTACGACATGAGGGGCAAACATTCCGAAAAGGCTTCCCACTGGAACGACAAAGACCACTTGAACGACCGCGCGTTTTTCCGGACGGTCACAGACCCAGCTACGTTAAACATAAATCACATTGAAGAAAGAGATGAAGGCGAGTACAGGTGCCGAGTGGATTTTGCCAAGAGCCCCACCAGGAATGCAAGGATTCATCTCACAGTGATAGGTTTGTATAAATGATAATTAATAGCGTGGCAATTTGCGTCACTTGGAACGTCCGAAGCAGATCAGAAGAGATTAGTGAAATTAACGAAATTAACGATATATTTGTATCAATAAATTACTAGAAGTATAATTACAATAATGTCGAAGGCACAATAAAATTACTTTTCTCGTTTTAAGACTCCTCTTTGAAAATGATCACATAGATTCAAATTTAGTTGAACTTAAAAATTCAATTTTCAAAATTTTCTATTCATTCATTAAATCCTATAAAATTGATAAACAAATTGTAAACGGATTATCATTCTTCATAGTGCATAATGGTTATGCATCGCTTATTAATGTTAAACAAATTCTGAGTATAATGATGCCATTTATGAGATATCTACTTAAGTTCCAGTGCAGGCTATAGTACACATTTGTTCCGCCTCGGGAAACGCATTAGCGGTCTGACGAGTGTCATGCGGGTACCCTAAATCCATAAGTTGAGAAAACTCAATATTTTACATCTCGAGCTGTACCATTATTCGATGTCTCTCGGTTTGTCTGAAAGATCGCACTCTCCGATTGCTTCTACTGTTACTATCAATACAATAATGAAATAGTCTGTTTAATAAAAGGCCACGATTCCTTACGACACAGATAACTCCACCGATTATGCAGCAATCCTGTTGAACAAAACAATTTACACTTTCACTTTCTGCGTGAACTTTTTTTCTGTAACAAGTGTATGTTCTGTAACTGTGTAATCGGAAGAATATTAAAATTTGTTCAAAGTTACAAGTATTTCCTCTATATATCCTAAGTCTAGGATAGTTCCACTTTTTAAAAAAGAAGTGTTACTTAACGCTATTTCTAGCGGTGAAATTTTGAAATTGTCACATAAAATGATTGTCTCAGTTGAATCATTTGTCCTCAATTGAATTTTGCATAGTCTTCCTGTAGTTAATTTTATAATCGTTATTGGAGAAGGTCGAGAAGTCAATTCAGAATATACGACTAAACTCGAGAAATAATTTTCAGTTAAAAATTCGGTAGGAATGGTGTTAATGATTGTGTTAATGAGTGAGAAATTCATTGTGTTCTGTGTTACAGTGCCGCCGGATAAGCCAAACATTATCGATGAACACGGCAAGACAGTGCCAACAGTAGCGGGTCCATACGAAGAAGGTGGTGACATGAAATTGCAGTGCCTTGTCACTGGAGGTAAATGAACATTTTTGTTAAAACATGGCGCTCTGTAAACGGGGAATCCCGTTTTCATATAAATACGAAGCTTTCCTACTTACCATACACTGAGAAAGTGTTCAATTTGTTCGAATTGATAATTTGTTTAACACGTTGAATGTCGAATGATTTCACAAAGCAAAATACAAGAAATGGGAAAAATATAATATTAAATCATTTTATTGAGTTGCATCATTATTATTGCGCGCGTTCATTTAGCTGAATGTAGCGTTGCATTAAGTAACATTACATTATTTATAATATAGAAATGTATTCAAATAATCATCGTTTTATAGAGTGGACTATAGTAATTTCATTTGTTTGGAAGTCACAGGTGACCCATGGCATTCAACATGTTAAAATCTATTAAAGAACCATAAAATATTTGATTTTAATCAAAAAAGTACAAGCTGATTTCATTGTAAATCATTGTTAAAATTAATTGATAGCGAATGTGTTAACATTTGCATAAATCATAATTTCTTATATCTATAGATAATTCTGCAGGTGAATTAAAGAAAATTCTAAAAATGCATCATATTTCAAATCCTAGTATGCTTTCCCTAAATCTTCAAGCAAAATTCGGGATCCCGGAATATTTATTGTTTGCGATGAAAAAGGAACAAGATTCGTTATTACACCGTACTTTTTGCAGAAAGAAAAATTGACGATATTTATAATCTCGCGGCCTCAAAGCGCCCAATTTAATGGTTTTTCGTCCGCTACTTGATTCATTTGGCACAGCCGAAAGACATATTTACAAAAACTTTCTTTGCACAATCTAGTTTTCCCGTTTTATTCTTCTGATGATCGTAATTACACGATATTTAGTATACACTGATAAATTTCGTCTGCTCAAACAGTCGGTAATGGTTTGCAAACACTCGTCTTCCCAATCTATCCAATCTCTCCACTCTGTAACAGTACTAAATTTGTGACGTCTGTAACAGTACTAAATTTTCCTCAAAATTCCTCGATAATTCTTAAAAATACTGTTTAATCCATAACATAAATGCTGAACTTGGAAACCAAAGAAAAAAGTATCCAATGATGAAACGCGTGTCAATGAAATGGACGAACAATTCTGATTAGAATAAATACTATTAACTTGTTTTATTCTTCTAATTGATAAGGAAGATACATTCAGAAAAATTGTAAATGAAATTTCTTTTGCTTCTTTGAGACAATGTTTTTATTGCATCTTAACGTGCACGTCAGCATTGCAGACCAGTAACGATTGAAGTGCAAGTTTCTTTACTTGGGGAGTTAAAGGTTAAGCAACTTTATAAAAATGGAAAGAATCATTACTATTAGCACTAGAGCTACCAGACACGTCAAAATGGCCGATCTCAAGATTCTTATTTCGCCATTATTAAGATGATAAAGATGCTTTCGTGAGAAATTTTGCAATACATTCCTACGTTTGTGCGAGTGCAGCAACAAGCTTTCAGAATCTCGAGAAATCTTTCGTAATTTTTATAACAAGTTACAAATAATTATGTCTTATTGCTCGGTAGTTCTAGTGTTAACACTAACCGTATCGGAAACCGGTCAAATCACTAATTGGTTTCACAAATCACAAATCATTAATTAGTTTTTCAATTTTTATCCTTCCTTTCTGTTCCCACTGAAAACAATTTATCATCTAATTTATTTATCTCTATTTCTCAGCTAGTTATTCAACTAGTTTCAATAGAAAAAGTGATTTTTTAAATAGATTATATTATTATTTTCAACATTATTAGTAAGAAGGATCGTTTACACTGCTCTCTACGAACTACCTATTTTTTCAAATGCATTTCAAAGAAAATATCGTAATAATACAGAGTTATCGAGGACAAAATGCAACAGAAATTCGGAGTGCAAAGGGTTAAAATATCTTCTTATTCGATAAATTTCATTCATTGTCTAGTAATTTACACGTTGACAAAACTCTGAACGTTCTGTTCCCTCGAATTCGTGTATGCAACTTCGGTGGCAGGTGGAGCTAAGGCTATCGCCGTTGTCTATCCCATGGGGGACACCAAAATAACGAGTAGACGATAAAAGATTTGTTAGTCGTACGACGAAGTTGTATCACTGTTTAGAAAATGGATTCAGCGGAACTTTCCGGCGCACCTGTGTCTGCCTCGAGAACTTGGAGGGTACGACACTTTTTGGCTAGAGATTAACATAAATACAGCCAACCCTGTAACTTACATTTTCCGCAACGTACATTTAAGTTGCGAGAATAATAAGGAACTTGTAAGAACTACTAGACAGAAAATTATGATTAAGAGAAAACTTAAATCGAAATCACTTTCCTTTTACAGAGCTCATTGCTCTCTTCGCATTTGCTGCGCATGCGACCCCATTACAACCCCGTTGGCATTACTTTTCCACGACAAAACTAAGTTTGATCTGATACAACAAATTCCTTGTATGCAGAATTCATATTTCAGATGAAAGATGTGTGGTTTCGAAAGATAGATAACTTAATCAAACATTAAATTGTTTTATGGTTGTATACGTATGAGAGATATCAAGTGAAATTTATTATTTTAAATAGAATAATGTATTCTTTAATACAACAGTGGATGAAGTTTCTTAATCAATTGTTCAGAAAGATTTCAAATTCGGTAAAAAATATATATTACATATTTACGAATAAATTTCTTTAAAAATATATGATACACTTATGTACTTATAAAGAACTTCTTTAAAATATATTCATCATACTGATACACTTCAATATATTTATTGTTTACGTATCAGATGTTTATACGTGAAATAGATGAGAATTTCTAAGAAGTGACATATTTTTATTGGTTCACGCTAAGAAGATGATTTATCGTTCTTGGTTTTCAGGTCGACCGGAACCAAAAGTAAGATGGTGGAGAGGAGAACTGCTGCTGGATTCGAAAGACGAGCAAGGTGAATTCCCAGCGCTCCGTAGAAACACGTTGATAGTTAAGCAACTGTCACGGGGTGACCTTCACGCGGTATTTACGTGTCAAGCTGCCAACAACAATATCAGCCAGCCCGTTTCTGCCTCCGTGGCGATCGAAATGCACTGTAAGTTTCTGTGCATTTCATGATACGCTGAAAGTATTTTTCTATAGTTGCGAACAACTGAAATGTAACAATATTTTTGAGATTATACTTCAGATGTTTAAAAGATTTGGAATTACACTAGATGACTGAGAAATAATGTGACTTACTTTATAATAAATTGTCAAAGACCTTAATTTTAATAGTAAACATTAAGTTAATCGTTTAACAATCTATTGATACGAATTTTTTACTCATCATATGTAAATTTACATAAAAAATTAATATGAATATAATAAGTTATAATACATATATATAAAAATTATCAAAGACCTTAATTTTAATAGTAAATAGTAAGTTACACAAAACACGGTTATATCATAAATCAAATCGATGCGAAAATTACTTAGAAATTACTGACAGAATTTTTCACTCTAATTACGAAATTTATAACTTTTCAAATTTCTGTGAACTTTAGTGAAACCGTTAAGCGTGACGATATTAAGCAGCGAACATGCGCCGCTCAGCGCGGATCGAAAGTATGACATAAACTGCATCACTGTTGGATCGAGGCCACCTGCCAAATTGTCTTGGTACATGGACGGAAGGAAGTTAACCAACCACACAGAGAAGGTACTCAATTATATTACTCACGATCCATATAACAATAAGTTAGATAATTCCTAACATCTCCTTAACAATTTGACTGTTATATCACCCGAATTCGGGTGGAACAATCTTCTATATAGATCCTCTTGGTTTTTATAATGTCTTTATTTAACTAAGACAATAAGTAAACACGTCTGTACAATTAATGACATAATGAACAACTAAATTAACAATTTGAATATTCCACAATTTCACATAGCAAAATGCACAAAATTAAACAAATATAATATTTATTAAATCGTTTTCTCAATTATTTTATTGAATCGTTTCATTATCATTGCACATTTGTATTGCTATATGCCACCGCATTAGGTAGCATTATTTATAATACAAAAACATTTGCAAATAATCATCGTTTAATTGGCTGAATTATAGTAATTCCATTTGGTCGAGTGACCGTTAATCATGTTAACTTGTTTCATAGATATTATCATAGAGATTGAGATCTTTCTTTTTAATTGATTATCATTTTATTCAGTCGAATCCATACATGACTGTCATTGCTAATTCTATTTCTAATAGATTTAAAAGTTAAAATAGTTCTGTCGACGAATCAGAAGTTCTCGGTGTCTGTTTTATTGAAAAAATTTATTCTACTGTTATGAGATTTTAATAAATGCAATAACAATTAATTGACAAGCAACGGAGATATTTTCAGTTCCAGTCTGAACTATCTCACCCTGTACGTAGGGTGCCCCACAAAGTGTATATGGAAAATATTTCAGAGATTGATTCAGTAGGGGAAAGTAGGGTGAAACGGAAAGGTCAGGTGAAACGGAACAGTAATAATGTTTTTCATAGATAAAGAGCTCGTATCGAATTGATATCGCATGACATGGTTCTAATAAGCCCTCGATGTAGCTTGAGATCGAGTGCACAGCAGTGCACGAGTTATTCTTCGATCAAAACCATTGGAAAGATATTCAATGAAAAAGTTTTCATGTTACACAGATGTTTGATGCATTTTCGTTTATCCTTCGGTTAAAAAATTGAACAAAGTAACTACAGTATTGGAATGGATCTGAAAACAGATTTTTAGTCTATCGTTTAATTGCTAGTCCTACATTAATGTAATATTTTAGACATGTATAACACAAATCCAAAGTAAAATTACAAAATCGAATTCCTTATTGTTTGTTGTAAGTTACAAATTTCGGTTTCATTGATGTTTAAAAATATATTAATATAATCAACGACGCTTGCGTTTCTAGTAGCTGAAATTTAGCTGGTGTACGATGTGTTAAGTTGTATTTTTGGCAAAGTTATTTCTTTATCTCATGCCAAACTGTAAATTTTCAATGCTTTTCCGAATTATGATGCAAAACGGAACACTAGCACAGGGACAACAGGAGTTTCTTGCTACGTATTTTGTTTATAGTTTCAATTGTTTAATTGTAATGGTATTGATGTACAGCAAATTAGAATCGAAGATTAGATAAAAACGGATCGATTAGATTGCACCAGTGCAGAAAAAGATGACACGTTTATTTATGAATTTTGTTCATAAAATACGTTACACGTGTCTCATAGGCAAGATTAAGTAAAATATAGATTTATATGAACGTTCTCGTTGCTTGGATTTCGAATCTATCATTAACCTTTTACCCTATGATTTGTTATTATTTATTTGTTCACCTATGATAGATACAACAACTTTGTCAGTAATAATTTATTGAAAAAAGAGGAAAATTCCGTGTATTCTATATCTACGTTTGCTCTACAGATAATAATTAATAACGGAGGAATAATAATAAAAATATCATTTGAATCCAAAAGAATTGAGTAATGTTTATGTTTGTTAAATCCTATTTAAAATGTTCATCACGATTCTCACACGTTATTGTAAGGCAAGGGATTAAAATACTTCTCACATATTAATAATACACTTTGTATGAACCTGAAATTTCAATTTTTCCAGGAAAGTCAGGTAACTTTTAATACAAGATATAACTTTAACGTTAAAGGTATCTGAAGATGGCAATATGACGAGTTCCACGCTAGTCTTGAAGCCTACGTTACATGATCACGACAAAGTAATTACTTGTCGAGCGGAGAACGCCAAAGTTCAACGAGGCGTAATAGAGGATACATGGAAATTAAATGTGTTCTGTAAGTAGAGCATAAAATGCTGTAGGTATAGCTGGAAGATGACTTGATGTCTAGCGGAACAGTATAGAGGCGAGATGTATTTTTCTAGTTTACAGTTTTACAGTTTTCATTATTTACGTGTGACTGTATCGACGAATTAGAAATTAATGATTGAAAATGTTAGTAATCAGGAAACAAGGCTGATAGAAAATTGGGTGAAGGAAGATGGAAGCTGAACGATCAGCTGCATTCGTCAGCCTAGTCATCAAGTGATTTCCTAGTAGTATATAATATTACTGAAACTAAAGAAGTACATGATACATCTCATCATAATCGTTCCTAGTATTATTAATAATAATATGAATAATAATAGTAATATTTAACCCATAAGACAAATAAAAATTCAATTCTAATTTTAATCATTTGTGCCAATTGCGATGCCTATGTTTCAGTTGTTCCAATTTTACATCTGGAACTGGGCTCCAATATGAATCCAGACGATATCGAAGAAGGAGACGATGTGTATTTTGAATGCAAAGTAAACGCTAATCCTGGAGCCTATAAAGTTGTTTGGAAACATAATGTAAGTTACAGATGTGGTTACAATATTTCCCGATTGAAATACATTTGGTTCCAATATTATCAAGAATGTTTTGTAAACATATTTTTGCATGAAATTTTACGTATCGTTGTATATTGCAACTACTTTACACGTATATCGTTCCAGGGTAATGTGATTCAGAATAACGCGAAGAATGGTGTGATAGTTCAACAGTACGGTCTAGCTTTGAGGGAGGTCAATCGCTCCCAGGCCGGAAATTATACTTGTATTGCCAGCAACGTCGAAGGAGACGGTTACAGCAACAACGTGGAACTTAAAATTATGTGTAAGCTATAAGTCCATGCTTATTTTTCTCAGTTTCAATCTATGTATTCTTTGGTTCTTTGAATATCCTCGATATTTTATCAATGATGACTAAGTTACGTTGTATTCTAAAAATAATGATGATCGTAACATGTTGTTCTAAAGATAATAATAACCGTTACGTTTTACTCTAAAACTGATGATCATTACACGAATCGCTCAGAAGCCAATGCATTTAAGTCGATTTTTTGATACTTTCTGATTTTTGTAAATTTTAATGGAATAAGTAAGATTCTATTCAGAGCCTACCCTTTAAGAAAATACTTTATATACTTTATGATCAAACTAATAAACCAATTTAGAAAGAAACATTAATTTTCTGAATTTTTGTTTTCTACACTTAACCGCGTTGGCTTTTAAGCGACTCACATGTTGTTCTAAAAATAATACGATCGTTACATTCTATGTGTACAGATAAACCGATCTGCGTGCCTGATCAAAAACGTATTTACGGTGTAACTCGTCTAGAAGACGCCCGGGTTATTTGCCGGGTGGAAGCGTATCCGCCGCCCAGCAGCTTCCGCTGGACTTTCAATAATACCGAAGAGATGGTGGATGTGCCGCAAGCTCGTTACAAGAATTCGACACAGCACATGCAAAGTGTTCTGATCTACAGACCAGTTACCGAAATGGATTATGGTACAGTTTTCTGTTGGGCCAGTAACACCGCTGGTCAACAGAAAAATGCCTGCGTATTTCATATCATTCCAGCTGGTATGTTTACATATAGAAAAATATGTTAATATTTACTAGAAGTTACTTATAAAAATCAGTTTATTCCATAAATTTGATAAACATTATGTATGAAGTATGAAAAGCCTAATTTGAAAAGTATGAATAATTATTATGAACACTGAAGAAGCTTGCCTAATTTTACATTTTTCACTGTGGATAAATTTAAATATATCTAGGAGTAAAATAAGGTGAACAGAAGTTTCAGATTTTAGTCTCTTACTTTACGTGTATTTTGTTCTAATTTATTCTGGTGAATATTTGCCTGTGATGCATTTGTGAGTTGCATGATGTTGTGTATCTTATAGAAAATTGTGTATTTTTAATGGTACATACAGTAGCAATCGTAAATAATCTTATAATGTGTTTCGATGTTTTGTAAATAAACTTATTTAAATAGTATCATCAACTTGATATCATAGGGTATTTCCAAGCAATATGACATAATGCATTTTTATTTAGACTTGAATGTTTATTCGACTTTTCACACTAAGACAACTGCAAAATGATCGTTAACTTGGAAAGATTTAAGGAATAGTCGGTTACGATCGTCTTGTTAACAGGGAAACCAGAATCACCGTACAACTGCACGCTATCCAATCAAACAACAAGATCACTGTCGGTTGAGTGTTTCGCCGGTTTCGACGGTGGTCAACCGCAGCATTTTCTTCTCGAAGTTTATGATCAAATCACGGGAAAACTTCAAGCTAACATTACATCCAGAGAGAGCGCGGCCTTCACCGTTCAAGACTTAGAACCCGGCAAAGTTCTCAATATGATCTTGTACGCTGTAAATGCGAAAGGCAGAAGCGATCCCGCGCTTCTGGAAGGGTTCACGTTGAAAGTTGCGGAGAAACAAACTGGTGAGTAATGTTATTAATATTTCAATTTCTTCTATTGAAAATTTTACTTAATGAAAATTTGCGAATTCAACGATAGTGAGGCAGATATAGTTGTGATTTATTATGGAAGCTAAATAGTATTTAGTATGACATAATATAATATTATTGTAAAATCTAATCTAATCTAATCTAATCTAATATATAATATCTATTATAATATCTTATAATAACAATAATACTAATACTACTATTACTGTTATTACTACTACTACTACTATTACTACCTGCTACTATTACTACTACTACTATTACCACTGCTACTATTCCTACCACTACAACTGCTACTACTACTGCTACTGCTACTACTACTAATAGTAATAATAATAATACGATTGATTATTATTGTATGCCGACGTAACTATACAAGAGCAGTGCGTGTTTTGTTTACAGGTACCCCGGTACCATTCGAGATCACCCCGTTATTAGGGGGTTTGATCGGAGTGGTTACCGCATTGCTTTTAATTACCGTCACTATTCTAGCAGCAATGAAAATTAGGAGTGACAGAAGAACACAGAGGCCGAACGATTTGCCATTAAAAAAAGGAACTGCGCCCAGTTCCGAGGATCTTTACGACACTGATGATAGAAACCCGGACGTTGTGCCAGTAAATAAAGGTATGGCATTGATAAACTTCCTTTAATTATAATGTCTATCTTATAACAAACTTAAAGTAATCATTATACCCTGATATTTTTCTACGCAATAAAATATCTATTAAATATTGTTAATATATATAATAAATTCTCTATAGATTTTAGCGTAAATACCTTTTAACTTTTTTCAGTATTAAATATTCTACTCTGCGCATTTAATTTACCTATTTCCTTTGGTTTTCGAATTGAAAATTAATGCGTGTTTAATAGGTTTAAAGAGTTCTGACTATTTTGACTGAAGTTGTAAGTACATTTAATCGAGATTTTAATTATACTTGCATTTTCATGGGGATACGTTTAAATTATAAGGTTCGGACTATCAACTAACGGGATCAATATCTGGGACCCCAATGGCCGCACAAAATACTCCAGATGGGCTTCCGCCATCTTCGCTGTCAGTACAGCAAGTAAATCATATCCAAGGACTGCCACCATATTCGCATGAATATAACAATTATCCGACATTACCAGTACGTCAAATCTTCTGCACATTATTCATATTAATGCTTTCAAATTAGAAAACCGACGAAATCTCGATTTTGCATGTAAATCATTTGAAAACATCTAACTCATGCGCTGATCCATCCACTAAAACTTGCAGACATCGCTAAAGTGATGGGTTTGAGTCTTCCAAAGTTCCATGACACATCTTGCATCAAACAAAAAGTGAAGAACGCTCATACCTATCACTCATTGCGATCCTACATCACCACAAGCTTCAATTCAAACTCATTCTTGTATTATTCTTAACATAACGAGTCCTTTTTTCTTTAATTCTTTCTTTATACTTATAAAATATATAATCCTTAAACTTAATATCAGTAGTCACCCCCAGTTCACGAAGAAGATATAAACATATGAAAACAAAGGCTACAAATTTTCTGGAGCAGCACCCCCACTAATTTTAGCTAGGAGCCGCCACTATTACCAACAGAACAAACTTGTTTCGAACGCATTGATTGCTTCATCAAGTGAACAACTCGACCACAGTCCATCCCAAACCATCCACGTTGAATCACTAAACATTCTGTTCCAGTTGTCGGGGGAAATAACGTACGCGGAGCTGTGTCTAACACGACCAACGACGTTGTCGACGTTGGCGACCGACACGAAATTGACGAGCATAAGCGGCGTCGGTAGTTTAAGTACCATCCAGGGCTACGGCAGCGGGTTCGTCGTGGGTGGTAAACCGCACGCGAAAGAAGCGACGATCTACGCGTGTATAGACCACAACGCCAGGCCGTCGAAGATCGACGGGTCGAACGCGTCGTCGTGCGCGCCGACTCCGTTGTCCGCGAAGAGCACGTTTCAGGACTTAAACGTGTCCGCGATGAGCAACAAGCATCATCCCTCGATAGAGATCGTAACCGTGCGCACCCCGTTGATCTCCACCCAGGAGAGCTGTGTATAGGGCTGCGAGCCCGACGCGCTGAACGTCAACGAGTATTATGTTTGATGTGATCACACTGTGATGGTCGCGCGCGCGTCTTTCTAGAACGGGATCCACAATAACCGTTTGTCCTACGATAAGACATGTACTCTGTCCAGAGTACGAAAAGAAATTAGCAGGAAGAGAACAAAGTAAAAGGGATTTTTCAATGAATGAGATGATCTTAGCGTACGCGACCGTTTTAGCACTAGATTTACGGAACGAGTTGATTTTATTTATGGAATTTTATGAACATTATTTGGTAAACATTTGGGTAATTTTACAGTTACACAAATATATACTAACCCTCTCGCTCCACCTGATTTCATACAGTAAAACTATAAAATTTGACATTTAATGTTATAACTTGTATAGTTTGAGAAATATTGAAATAAAATAGCTTAGTTCCTCGATGTACGTATAATTTCTTTTCGAGTTAGTTTCACAAAATGTCGTCTTTATCTCATCAGGAAATGCTCAAATATTTCTATTGAAAAGCTTCCGAGTGCAAAGGGCTAATTGTCTACTTTGAATCCTCTAATTTCTAAAATCTAAATAAACGAGTATTAATTTTTCTAAGAACGATAGGACGAACTATACAGTAAATATCTGTAAATCAAGTGTTAGTACTTTTCGAGCGGGCTTTTGCAAAAACCGGTGGGATTCAAACGGTTAACACGTTGGATGTCATGGGGGTCACCGGTGACCTCAACCAAATCGAATTACTATGATTTCTTCATTGAAACAATGGTTACTTGGAAACTTTTCTGTATTACTAGTAATACTACCTAATATAGTGACATTCGACAAGCTAGACCTGCAATAATAATAACGCGTTTCAATTACATAATTTGATATTAGATTATATTCGTTTTGTATATTTTTCTCGGCAAAATCCTGCGGCACTGAACATGTCAGTTACACATTAGAGCTGAGAATGCGTGAAGCAACGAGCAAGGTTCTTTTGTTACAAGGGAAGATCCCTTTTGTCACGTTTTTATCGAGTTAGATTTCTTTCATGCTCTGGATAGTATACGCTGTTCGGTGTGCGGTCAGAAAAATGAAGATAAGAGGAATAAAACGGTGTAAAGTAGTCAAATGAGATTCGATCGTCGGACACTGAACAAACGGGGCAGTCTGCGGGACGTTTGCGACGACAGTGGACGGGATAACAATGGAACAATGAGTGTTCGTTAATTATATAAGGGACGCGCGAGGATATCGTTAGCTTTAAAATTCTTGAAGGATATTGATCAACGTAACCTGAATTTGATCAATAAGACTGATCCAGACATCTTATTAATAAATGGTCACAACGCGTAAGAGGTATAGTTTTCGTTTGACGGTATGAATACGTGCGTCGACGACGCGACAGTTTTTTATATTCTTCGATGATTATTGTATGCGTTCGTCCATTGCGTTGGTTAAGTAAAGCACTTGATTGGAATTTATTCATTTGACATTGTGAGTCATGGTACTGTAAAGTTTTGTATGTCACGTTTATGATCTTGGTTTATGTTGCTTCGCGAGGAATGAGTTTCAATTTTTCATTGAATCGAACGAATTTTATATACGTAATATATATATATGTATATTTATATATATATATATATATATATATATATATAT